AAAAAAAAAAATTTGAAAAATTGAAAAAATGGGACGGCGGGTAATGCAAAACGAAAAATCAACTTTGCGTGGCCTTATATATAGAAAGCGTGACGAATTTACATGTGAAAAATCGAATGCATTGAGTGAAGAATAGACAAAGTTTGACTGCGGCCCAAACAAACTTAAGATTTTGCGGACGCATGCCATTTAATTTGCCATTTCACAACGTTCCTGGTACGTACATGGATGCCGTCTTAGCTGCCTAATTTTACACCGCGTGTATTTTGCAAAGAACATTTGAGAAAGACGTAAATTGTCACTTATATTCCACAGAATATTTGAGAAATCTGCAAATTACCCATCACTGCATCACATTAAAAATAGAGCTTGGAGCCGTTATCTGTTAGATACTAAAAAATCCGTCTGATATGTATCCCCATTAAATTTAATAATAAATAGATAACGGGTACATATTGAAAAATTAATTAAAATGATTGGTTAAATATACCCAATCTTTTAATAACGGGTCTAACATCTAGTAATGATTTTTTTTTAAATACAAATTACAGCTGTTTTCATAAATTCATTGACCGAATATTTGCCGATTCGATAAGTTTGTGATTTTGGTAATGATCGCTGTCTGCAAATATTCGGTCCCATAATGATATCGATATACCTACGTACGCACCCGAAATTAGTAATAATCAATTTCAAAAAAAAAAAGAACTTACCAAATTTAGACTAATATATCTAACCCTGACTTTAGCCTAACAAAAAAACTAATCTTTAATAAAGCCAAAAAGGCAAGCAGTAATTAACGCCTTTATATCGCTTGAAACTTGCGTGGTAGCCTATAAGAGCAGTTTAAACCTAAATTTGTAATGATAATATTCTGATCCGTTGGGGATTGGCGGAAATTTCATTCGTTAATCCTCGTGATCTTGGCATAATGATCGGGATTATAGCAATTAAATACTGTATATTGTATTATAAAAATATGAGTGGGTATTTATAATCACCAAAATAAATATCATTTATTTATTAAAAATTTTGGTTAAATTATTTTTAAGAATTGATTTCGATCCTATATCAATTCTTACTTTGGCTTTATGCATATAATCGGAGAAGAGATGTATTTTAAAAATGTATTAGAATTCTAGCATCGATTCGTGAGTCTAGATCCTGATCTTCAATTAAACAGCATTAATAAAAATAAACAATATATATAGTGTTAATATTTTCTTCGTTCTATACATAGTATCGTTAAAACCCTTAAAAATTTGTTGCAATGTTTTTATATAAAATATTTAAAATTACTCTAGTTCTTAGTTTAATTACTTTACCTAATTATGGATTATATGTACATAAACTAGGTGAACGTAAATTAGACAAACATGAATTAGGTGGACGTAAATTAGACGAACATGAATTAGATGGACGTAAATTAGAAGAGCATAAATTAGAAGAGTATAAATTAGAAAAAAGACAAGGTAAGATAAACTTTAAATATTTTTTTATTCACAAATAATTATCCTATTAACTTGCATTTTTATATTTTGTTTATAATGATTATTACAGCGACGGCCTCAATTGGAGAAGACTTTATGTAATTATTTAAAAACTAATAATGGGGTTTCAGAATTAACTTTTTTTCAAAATAAGTGGGAACTAATTTTCTTTTTTAGAATTTCGAATAAAAATTCAAATAGACATAACCGGTGATAAATTTAGCTTTTTTTGATAAGCATTCATTGGTAAATGATTATATAAATAAGTACATACTTTAAAAAAATAGAATTTGCACGTTGCTTCTTTTGAAGTAACACTTCACTTATTTTATCTGAAATCGGGCGCCGAATCATTAATTCTGAAACCCCCAATGTCACAATAACTCAATGTACCTTAATAATTTGATTTTTTTTTTAACCTTATGTGTTATTATAGGTTGTGAGTATGATTTTTAGATTTATTTGTAAATTTGGTTTATAATTTTCAAATTATTCTCTGTTTGGCATTCTCAATTTAATAATACACATATTCACATGTTCTGATTATTAGGGGGTATGTATAATCTCAGTCCTGAAGTGAGTATCAATCGACTTTTAAACAAATTTAAACCAAATTTTTAAATAAATAAAATAATATAGAATTTTTCTTTTAATTATAATAGGATTCGGCTAATAATTAAAGTTACAGGAAATTTAGTTTTCTACAAAGTTCTTAATAGAAATTTAACTAATTTTCGGAGTTGGAGTAAAACAGTTATTTACAGTAAGAAATTCATACGGATTTTGTATGATTCGTTAATTTTTCGCTATCATTATTTCATTATCTTCCACTATCTTCACTAGATACACACAACCTGATTGGCTGCAAAATTGACTGGATTTTAAATTCACATTTATACACAAATTTCAGCGAAATTGCATAAAGATTAATAATTGTAATAATTGAACGATTCAATCATTAGTGTTAATAAATCATAAAACCATCATCCAGAATGCAATTCTCATAACCGGTTCATAGAATTTACACGGGTTACCCAAAATTGGCTAATTGCAGAACTGATTAATATCCCTACGTACTAATTTTGTAATCTATTATCATAAATTTTAATTATAACACGTTTCACATTCTTTCATCAAACCAAACTATTAGACTGTAAATATATTTAAATATTATTTTATGGTTTTTATTAATTGCTTTTATTTAACATAATGATATATTATTTAAATATATTTTGAATCATTAGAGCGGTGTAAATATAAAATTTATTATGCATCTCAAATTAATTATATATGTCCTAATAATTATCATTTTCCTATATAATTATCAGATTGCAAGTATAACCTTTTTTTCTTTAGATTGTGTTTTTATAATCATGCATATATTACTTATTCTTCTATTACTGTATTAGCATGTAGGTTAAAAAAGAACTCATTCTTACTTGCATTTTTTTAATCAACTTTTATAATAAGACACTTTCTGGTGGATTTTTAGACCGTAAGTGTAGATTTATTCTTAAATGACTTTAGATGATTCTTTTCTAATTTGCTCTATATAACCTAATAATGTTCACGTATATTCTTCTATTGAATTTTTAGAACGTAAGTGAAAATTTGTCAAATTTATTTAAATGATTTTTATATTATTTTTTTTCTAATTTACTCTATAAAATAATAATGTGCATATATAATCATTTGCCGGATTATTAGAACGTAAATATAAAATTTATTTAATATTTCTGAAATTATCAATTTATGTTTCTAATAATATATAATTTTATATTAAATCTTTAGAATGTAAGCATAGCCATATTATATTATTTCTTTAATTATTAATTTACAATTATAATTCTTATTTTTTTTTTTGTTGAATCATTAGAACGTATGTGTTTTTATTGTTAAATTATTCTTGTAACTTAATATTGCAAGTGCTCACATATCTTTTTGAATTATTAGCGAACATTTTCTCCTGTATTTATCACTATTGCCAAAATTATCAGTTTGTCATTAAATTGTATTTCTATAATTGTAAATAATACATCTCTTTTCCCATTCTTACCAGACCGTATGTATAAACATCATCATATTTATATTCCTTTAATTGATTTTTATAACTTAAAAATATAAATTTTCATACATTCTTCTATTTCATTATTAGTCAGGGGTATAATTTTCAATATTATTCATTTTAAATTATCTATTTTCAAATTTTAATGCATTCATGACAATTTTTTTTTTTTTGCTTTTCCGGATTATTAGTGAGTGCGTAATGTATTTATTTATTATTATTAGATAAATTTTAAATTATTTGCTAATTAGCTTGCTTTGCTTTTGTTAAAGGACGTAAGAATCGCATATATTTATTACTAATACAGTAATATAGTTAGACCTCTTTAGATGCAACTCCTAATGTAAGGTCCCTATATGAAATCTCAAACACTGACTCAAATATGTACTAGAACCATAAATTTAGCTTTTTTATGATTCTTTAAATGCAAGCTTCAAAGCTTGTCCCTACGAGTCGCATTTAGAGAGGCTAATTTTATTATTATTTGATTTTTAACTGCAACTATATAATGGTTTTTATAATTTAATTATTAGAGTGTAAATATTCGCTTATTTATTTT